TACTGGGGATTGAACTTGGGTCCTTGTGCTTTCAAGGCAGGCGGCAGAACCACTGAGCTAAATTCCTGGCCCTAAAGTTTCTAAATTTTAAAGGATCAATTACTTGTATTTTTTCCTACTTAATTCAGCTAACCCTTGAGAGAAAGCAGGTACTATATTGGGCTAAAAGGTCAAGTTAAAATATTTGAATTGTAATAAACAATAACATTTCTATGAGTTGTTAAAATAACTCAGAAATCATAAGTGAATATTTGCTTTAAAAACTAATCAGTCAGAATATCTTTACAGGTATCCATATTTTGGGGGCATCATAATTTTTAAAATTAAGAATAAAACAAAAGTCTGTTTATTCTTGGCAAGATTCCTTTCTAATTTGCAAAGATTGAAGAAAGCAATTTTGGCTTTTATTTGCTTCTCAATTTAAGAGAGTCATAATGTTTTTTCTCAGCTTTGCCTTTTGTACATTTTAGCTGGTTCTAATGAAGACAAATTCCACTCAATCAAGAGGTTCCCATTCATTAAGTGAGACAGATGGAAGCCTTGCTATATTTTGTTAGATTCAGCCTCCTGAAGCTGACTGCCTTCTTTATTGAGGACTGTAGGAATAGCAGCCCTTATATTTTCTGGAAGAAAAGAAAATATTTTTCTAGAACAAGATGTCAAGCTGCTTTCAAAACAAGATGTCAAGTTGTCTTCCAAACAAATGAACCTAGGTTTTGTTCTAAGGACGTATCTTCTCACATTGAGAGAAGGAAGGCTAAGATTCTTGGGGGCATACACATTTGTTGGTTTTCCTAAGAGATATTTGACACTTCTCTTATATGGATCCTTCCAAACCTGACATTTTCTCTCTCCTGGGAATTGTCTAACCCTCTCTGTAACTCTCCTGCTTAACTTATTTTTTGGCCTTGAAACATTTCTTCAGGTTCCAATAAATAAGCGGTAAACTGGAAGTATCACAGCTTCCAATGTGTCACACTATATCAGCAGAAAACCCTTTAAAAAAGATGTTACTCCATCAAGACAGAAGGTAGAGCTTGGGGAAAAGTTGGCCAAAGTTCACAAGATTCAAGGTCAAAGTGGCTCAAAGAGTGACAAACACTGGTTTTATATTTTCCCTTCCATGTTCTACTTGCACTAGGCCCCAAAGGAAAAGGGATGCCCTCTTTTCTGCTTTAACTTAGCCACTTGTGACGACTACTCGTGAGCCTCCTTAAGATGGTAAGATTCTGGTGAATGACCACAGACACACAATTTTTCTCTGATCAGGCACACAATTCCAGATGGAGAAGTCAAGATGTGGCCAGAACACATAGATAGTGAACATATCCTCAATGAAAACCCTACTGGCTATGCACGGTACAGAGTGGATTCCCTAAAAATAGGAGGCAAAAGTGAGAACCGGAAAGTCTCATTTCTGAGCAGCAGCAACCGTAAGAGTCCTGTGTTGGGACTGTCCAGATTAACAGGCAAATGCCAGCTGTTTCTGCAGAGCTCTGCACTTATCTTTATCCAGTTTTTCCTAGGTAAGCAGAGCCTCTGAGGAGTAGCTAGAAAAATGAGAAGCAGTGAGAAGAGAGGAGAGGAGGTAGGAGACTGACTACTTGATTCTGAAAAGTGGCAAATTTTCAGTACTTTAGAAAGATCATGATATATTGCCAGGGTTAGAAACAATTAAAATTTCATTATATAAGTGAAGAAAGATTAAAAATAAAAACACATATGCTAAATTAAGTAGTTGCCTATAGTGAATTTTCACCAAAAAATTACTAAGCCAAAAGTCTATTTTGGCATTATTTTGTAAAATGTTAGTCACATTCTTATTTTTGGGTGTATGTAATGAAATGACAGCTTTAAATATTTAAATATTAATTTTATCCTTCTGTCTTACTAATTGTCTACAACTTTAACTTTTGTTAGCTTGTAAAATAATAATAATTTGTATTAGTTTTGGAATTTAAAGTTATTTTTAATTAAAAATGCAATTTTTCATTTTCAGTATTTCACGTGGTTTAAACATGGGCAATTTTCCCACTAGTTTTTAGGAAGCAGAAGAGTTTGTTGTTCTTGTTAGCTTTTCATGGCACTGAAATGAGTCACTGGAGCCCCAGCCTACACCCAACTTAGTACCTGACAGTACTGATAACCGCCGCCTTTTCCAATTGTGGAGCGTCCCATACTTTACAGGTTTTTAGAAACATTTGGCATCAAGTTCTTATTTCACTTTTGGGAGGTAGAGATCGTAGCTCTTCCTAGATGAAGAAGACTGCCAAGACATCAAATGTGGTCCAACATCACAGCAGTAGACTGGGACCCAAACCTCAGCTTTGGTGCTGCCCCCATTTTTTTCCTTTGGCCATAGTTCTTGGCCCTCTATACAAAAGCAGGGCTCTGGACCAGTGCACCACGAAGCCAGGGCTTCAGTCCCCCCACTACAGAATGGCAGATTGGATTTCCCCATTCCAGGCATGCTGTTGCCTCTTCATTTTAATCTTGTTTGCTTATTAGAATGAAGAATGATGGGAGAAAATGGGCATCATTTGATAGAGTGGCACATCCCAGAGGCCAGTGAGTAACCATTCATGAGAAAATCCACTGTGGTTGTTATGAACCTGGAAGAATCAGGGGAAACTTTATGATACTAATCTTTCATTTTTCAGAGTCCCATGAACTTCATAGACTCCAGAAAGGAAGAAGAAAAAAGAAATCTACACATACAAATATTTGTGGCAACTTCAGGCCATTCATAGACTTTTTAGAGAGGCATGGAGCAAGTTAGCAATCTCTGTACTAAACAGTGCACATCTGCACAACTTTGTGACCTATAGGAACTTGCACTTTGTATGATACACAAAGTGAACAAAACTTACTTTCACATAGGAAGTAATGATTGAGTGGTATGGAAAAGAGTGATGTGGAAAAAAACATACACATTATACTGAGAAGAGACAAAAATCAATCATAAAACAGCACATTGGTTGTCTAGAGAATGTTAATTAATTGGAAAAGAGGGCATGATGGTTTTTAAAGTGATGGAAATGTTCTGTATTTTGAATGAGACATTGATTATATGAGTGTCTACATATTTTCAAATTAATCATATTCTATCCTTAACATCTGTGGGTTTTACCCTATGTAAATTTTATGTCAATTTAAAAAAAAAACAATTACAATGTGTTCTCAAGACTGTCCTTTTCCCCACAATATCATTTCCTTGGTAGCGTTAGGAGAAAGGAAAGTTGATGTGGCTCAAATGCAAATACTTTCCTCAGAAGTGTTTATATAGATCTTAACAGTATTTTAATCCTCCCTTTGAATATCCATGGAGCAGTCTCTGATTACAGACAAATGGCTGTGATTTTTGTCCCACAGACCATGAGCTGTATCTTCTGGTCTGACATCAGTATTGGGAGTGGGAGAAAGAGTAGAAAATATGGATCTCAGAGGTGCTCATATTCCCTTCAAAGGAGAAAAGAGTTCCACTAATCATTTCACTCTTTCACACATACTTTTTTTTTTTTTTTCAAAATACAGGAAGAAGAGGATGTCATGCACAGCTCTGAAAATTTAGGTTGCTGTAATGCTGTTCTGGGTTTTGAGAAAAGTAGGATGAAGGGGGACTCCATGACTTTGCCTTGTGGTGTTGACAGCTTTCCGTAGTCAGTGTGAAAGCTGCGTCCATGATCTATCTGTATCATGTTTCATTTGCCAGGGGGTCTACCTCTGTGTCTGGTGCCCACAGGCAATGTCTGCCAGGGCGGATCCATCTGGCCTAGCGTAACTTCAGCAGTCAGCAGCAGACTTCACACCTCAAACAACACACATACTGATATATCTGTTTGAAATGACTAGGTTTTCACAGACTTTTTTTTCATTTTGCATGCCTCACATTAAATATTGTTAAAAAATTAAAAACCATTTTTTTTTACAATTTACAAGTTTTTATATAAGAAGAAAATGACTAAAAAATTACCCACCCAAGCACCTAGAACGCATCTAGCAAACAATGCTAATAACACATGGGCTGTGAGCTAAGGACTCCGCAGTCCATGGGAAAGCAGAGAGGCAGAGTGTCTTCTCAGGAAGGAAGGTGACACGCATTGGATCCACCAAGTGCTGGCTGTCTGTGGTGCTTTGTTCCTTAAGTCAGGTTCAGCAGCCGCATTTCTGAGTCAATATCATTACTTATTTCGACCTAAAAAAGAAAATATGAATTGCTTTAAAAAACCAGCACAGAAACAAAAATCCTTTCTATTCATACAGGACTTTTGAAATGCAAAACAGCTCCTGGGTGTGCCTGGTCCTGTCTGACTGGAGCTGAGAGAAAGCCAGATATTGGGACTTTCCTACATTTTGATAAAAAGTGTGCCAATAAGGCTTCCATGCCTGGAATTCATTTCCTGGGAGGGAGGGACCATCCTCACAGCAATTGTAGGGTAATGTGGTTGCCTCAGAGGTAAAGATGTTAGGTGATACTGCCTCTCCGGACTATGAGGTACATCTCCAGCCTAACCTTACTCCAGCATCCTCTTGGCTGACACTTTTTAAGGAGTCTGGCTTTCATGTTACTTAACCGCCCACCTATATGCCTTATATACTTGTACATTCCTTCCTGTGATGGTTAATTTTACATATCAATTTGGCTAAGCTACAGTCAGATATTTGTTTAAATGACTCTGTGAACATAGCATTTAAATGAAATCAACATTTAAATTAGTAGATGTTGAGTAAAGCAGATTTTCCTCCATAATGGGGCTCATTCAATCAGATGAAGGCCTTAAGAGCCAAAGATGGAAGTTTCTTGTGAAAGGAGAAATTCTTGTTCCAGAATACCTTTGGACTCAAGCGGCAACACCAACATTTTTCTGAATCTCCGGTCTGCTGCCCTGACATGCAGATTTTGGACTTGTCAATTCTGTAATTGCAGGGCCAATTCTCTCACTCCCTTCCTCCCTCCCTCCTCTCTTCTCTCTCTCTTCCTCTCCCTCTCTCTCTCTCTACACACAGACACACACAGACACACATGCACGCCTTTCTGGTTCTATTTCTCTGGAGAATCCTGACTAACACATTTCCTATTCAACAACTTTTGTCTCCACACTTGTGGCAGATTCTTTACATATTCCTTATTTTATACTAAGCATTCAGCCTTTGGAATATGATGGCACTGAATTATGCACCCTTGGGCAAAATCACCCTCCACATAGTACTTGCTACTTACGTGCTGCTCCACTTAATAAATATTTATTGAATACTTTAGGTTGCATTGTTTTATGTGAAGTCGTAGCTGATCCAAAACCCATTCACCTTTGAAGATTTACTTTCTCCTCTGTGAAGACTTTCACAGTGTCAGACATATTAGTTTCTTACCCCACTACAAACAACCTTCGGTGTTATCTGCAGTTCCTGTGTACAGCTAATGCCATCCAGCTTCCAACTAATTGTGCTTTAATTGTTTCAATTAGCCAAGTTATTGTTCTTATTCTAATTAAATTATATGCATCATACCAAAAATGACTCTTACAGTTTTACTGTTCTACAGCTTCTAGAAACTTCTCTTCCACTCAGTTCAAAGAGTCTGTGGTCTGGAATGGACTTTTTACTCATAATTTGAAATAGTTGAAAAGTTCCAACTTTTGGGTTCATTTTCTGTAGCCATTCTTCTGACTGTACATCATGCTCCCCCACCCTCCATACTCCTTGGAAGTCAGAGGCCTCCAGCACTCTCCCATCTCCCCATTACATTTTCTCTGCTCTCCTGTTTCTCTATGTTCTAAATGAGAAGCCATAGGTACCCCTTTTACCTCCTTTTGTTTGTTTGTTTTTGGTACCAGGGATGGAACTTGGGATCTTGCACTTGCGCTTGTGAGGCAGGCGTCAGAACCACTGAGCTAAATCCCCGCCCCCCCCTTTTACCTCTTTGTATTTCAACAGAGATTTAAATGTAAAGATAAAGGGATATGATTATAATGATGGAGTTTTATGATTTATACAACCTCTAAATGTCAGAGGCTGGGTTTGAACTTGTGATCCTCCTGCTTCAGCCTCCTAGAGTGCTGGGATTACAGGCATATGCAACCACAGCTGGCAGACTGGAGAATTCTTTTTTTTTTTTTAATTTATTTTTTATTTTTTGGAGAATTCTTAATCAGAGAAAATGTGCCAGAATGGAGATGGTTTTTGTTGTTACAGTTTCATAGAGAGTGGTACTACTGGAATCTATTAGATAGAGGCCAAGGGTGCTGCTAACTATTCCCACGGTGGGGCCAAACCAGCTGCAAGGGATTATCTGGCCCAGAGTCAATACTGCAGAGCTGGAAAGAGTCTGATCAATTGGGAAGAATTAAATAGCTAACGAATTTGTCAGTATCATTTCATATCTAGTTCATATTCACATTTCCCCAAGTGTCTGGAAGCTTGTCATTATGATTGGCTTATTGTCAGAATGGAATAAGGTGTACAGTGTATTTGACTACTATGAGGTGTGATCTAAAAATATAGTGAACCTTTAAATTTAAAAAATGTATTACAGTAAAAAAGACATTGCCATTAATCAGCCTCAAAATACTCCCTGTCACTTCAAACACACTTATTTCATTATTCTGAAGTACTGTAATTCTGGAAGCCCCTTTTCATGCCTTTAGTTGTTCTTTGGTGGCTCCCTCAATGTCCTAAATTGATTCAAAACATTTACTTTCATAGTCATTTTGATTTTAGGGAAGAACCAGCAGTCTCACATCACTAGATCTGGTGAATAAGGTAGATGAGGACACACTGTTATGGTTTTTTTTTCCCCTTTATTTTTTTAATTTTTAATTTTATTTTTTAAAATATTATTTTATTGGTACATTTTAGGTATACAATATAATGACTTTCATGATTGGAAATTTGCACCTTTACATAATCTCTCTTGGTTCATATTTTATTTGGCAGAAGTTCCTGTAAATGTTTCAAATCAATTCAGCACATTAAAGCAGTCACAGAAAGACATTCATAGGAGAGAATTTCCAGAACTTCTTTAGAAGTGGCAAGAACAATGAAATAAATGTGTTCAAAGTGAGGGAAAGTCTTTTGAGGGGGATTAATGACAATGTATCTTTTACTGTAATACATTTGTTTTATTTAAGCATTCACAGCATATTTTGATCACCCCATCCCCTTGTTTCTGTGGGTCAAACTGAGGACCTCACGCATGCTAGGGAAGCACACAACAACTGAACTACACCCCCAGTCTCTAAAATCTTTTAGTCAATAAAAGTTTCCACTACTTGGTTAACAATTGTCCATATTATTATTCATATTCTGCATTTGCTCATTGGTTCCTTGTGGTGAGCTTTAACTTATTCTGTTATTCTTGTATTTTCTACACTATTACTCCAAGATGAGGGTTAACTTTATAGATAGGTACTTCACAGATGGGGCTGTGTACCTCCTATTAGCACATCTGGGGACACATAATGAATGTCTAATTGCCCCACTTTTAATGATGCTATGATTCATCAGTGACTCTGGGAAGAATAGTTGGAGATTCAGGACCCTTAAAGTCACAACTCTTCTTCTTTTTTTTAATAGGTTCTACTAGATATTTTAATAGTTACCTAAGAGTATTTGCCCTGAAGGCAGAATGAAATCAAGCAATAAGATAGTGATGTTATTACAGAGGGTATTTTTTGATAGGCATTCTTTATACACTTATATGTGTGGATTTTTCTTTGGTTTTCTAAGTTTTTCTGTATTTTGAGTAGTGTGTTTGTGTGTGTGTGTGTTTCTCTGTGTTTTATGTGTTCTTTCTTCTGTCTTATTTCTTCCCAGAGCCTTACATAATGTAGCTTAATAAATATTTTTGATGTAAATATAAAATGAAAAATGACATATATTTAATGTAAAATTTATTTAATGTTTCTCATCTTTAATTTTAAGTCAGAGGACATTTTCTCATGGAAATAGGAAAGCTGAAGTTGTTTTGTTTGCTGTTGATTAACGTTGGAAGTGGTGGTGGATTTTATCTCCACATAATTGCATAAATGTAATTTTTTCTTGCTTTTGGCATCAATGACAAACAGTGAGAGAAGTCCTAGGAGCTCTGAAAAATTCAGGAATTGCCCTTCTCCCTGGTGGGGACATTCAGGTGCCCACCATTCAGATATGGGCTGCTCCACTTGGAAGAAGATGAGTGTGTTTCACAGGGTAGCATGAGAACTAGACCTAGTTCTCCTGTGGTCCTGTGAGCAGGTAGTGAAGTCACATGTCAAAAGAAGTGATCTCTGTGTCTCTAGTGAGAATAAGGTGGATGCGGGACCTCCAGTCCTGGTGGTCACATCAGACTCTTGCTTCTGCACTGTTGGTTGCATCATTTCTTCCTAACCAGGACAGAGATGCACAAACTATGAAAGTGATGAGATTGAACTACATAAGCAACATAAACACTCATTTCATTGCTGCCTGACCAAATGGTTGCACATTAGCATATGCTTTTACAGTAGTTTCAGAAATGATGTAACCATTCTTCTGGTGGATCAAAAAGTTACTAATGCTAGTGAAAAAGAAAGGGAGAGCAATGAGCCCTAATGTAGCTAACGTTGTGCTAAGTAAGGCAGGAATGCAGGAAATCCATCTTTCCTTTGGGACAACTGAGAGAGCACTGAGTGCATTGCAGTTGTAGTGCCCCTGAGACAGCCCTGGAGAATTAATATCTTTGTAAGTGCCTTCTATTTCCAGGGACTGATGGTGGGAGCTGGGAAATGGAACTCCATGCTCAGTAATGGGAACAGTGAGTCAGACATCACTGTGAGCAGATCCCAGTTACCCTACTGTGCGAGCCACACGGGACAGACAGCAAGCAGAGTTTTACATAACTTGCCACCTCCTAGGTGTGGGTAAAAATAAACAATTGATTGAAAGCCAATCAAGGACAATGAACAGATAATTAAGATAAGAATTCATCACTGTATTCATCTTTAGGTTATTCCAGTCATAGGTTGCTTAGATATGGCTGGCCATTTTAAATTAAGGGTTGAAATATATTATTTCACCTCCTCTCTTCACACACACACACACGCACACACACACACACACTTTGATTGTCCCACTAGTTAGTGCTTGATCTAGACACAGTAAATACAAAGATGCAAAATGTCCTGGCATGTTACCAACTTGTATCTGGGGGTACTGATAGAGAATCACTATTCTCAGAAAAGTGCAAATAGACATGACCTCCTTGGGATGAGTCTCAGATCCTGATCAACAGAGGTGAGTTTCCTGAAGGCTTGGACTGTTAGAGGTAGAGAATAGACAACAAAGGCACCATGGAGGTGGTTGTATTGACAGCTTGAAATAAAGATTAGCCTCTTCTGTCTTTTAGCACTTAGTGATGATAGCAATAACTCAATCAGCAGTGGCCACGTAGCATGTAGCAATTTTTGTGAAGAAAAATTAGTCTCCAGCAAGGCAATCAGACAAGTTAGGATACCAAGGAAAAGTCAAGTTTTCATTTGGAAGCCTTAGAAAATGATTGCTTAACAGTGATGGGGGGAGTTCAGGGTCAACTTTCTCATCAAGTCTTTCCTAACTGCAGTCCTGGGGTGTCTTGCTCATGGAAATTTCTAACAATCAGATCTAGCTCTACCTCTGTTGCACAGCATACTTCTGGGATTCAGTTGATAATAAACTGCTTTGGTCTAATTATTTTTATGTTAAAAATTACTGCTACATAGCTTAATTTTCCCACTATCCAGTTGTTAACCATTTTGATGGAAGTATACCAGTTGTGATTTTGACAAACTTTAATTGCTTAATTTGATGTTCTCTGAGATTACATCTTGCTTTTGTAGTTGCATGGGTCCATGCCATGCCATTTTTCTTTCTGAGGGTAAATCGACTTACTTCACCCTAAGTCAATGTGTAGGTGTCCCTGTCAGAGCCTTGTCTACCATGCAGCCACTTGGCTCTGTGCTCTGATGATAAGGGTGACCCTTGCCCTCGGGAAAGGACAGTGCCTGGGTGCAGTGATGGAGGAAATATGGTGGAGACCTAGGTCTTAGCTATAGTGAGATGACACTTTTGCATTACCAGCTGTGATAAGATCACAGTACAGGCTTCCCCTGACCTATGTGTCACTTGTCCAGAAGGCAGAACCAGATGGCAATCACTTAGCATGTTTTATAGCTTTAGGCAAAAGGGTGATGCCATTTACATGATAGAGCAATGGCTGCTAAAGCCTCTTAGTGCCCTCACTGGAGCTTTCAAGATTCTTGCTCTGCTTCTCATAGGTTTGCTCAGTTTTAAGTAAGAATTCTGACGTATACCAGATTGCATATTCCTGAACTTCAACACTGTTCTCTGTAGAATGGTCAAGCAAATTAGCCTCCACACTAAGAATACCTGTTTTCTTTTGCTCTTGTTGTGAAGACATTTTTTGAAGCAGTTTTATGTTCACAGCAAAACTGAGAAAAAGATAGATATTTCCCATGCATATACATATACATCCTATCAACATCCACTGCCAGAGTTGTATGTTTGTCAGAGTTGATGAACGTGCATGATGAACTGTTGTCATCCAAAGCCCTTAACTTACCTTAGTATTCATTCTTGGTGTTGCATATTCTATGAGTTTGGAAAAATGTAGAATGACATGTTTGCACCACTGTCATGTCATCCAAAATAGCTTCATTGTTTGAGAAATCCTCTTTGCCCTGCCTACTCATCCTTTCCTCTCCCATCCCCTGATCTGTTTACTTTCTCCATACTTTGACTTTTCCAAAATTTCATATAGTTGAAATGAAGTGAAAAGTAGCAATTTCCTTTCTGCATAAAATTGCCTTAGCGGTGTTGTTTTGTATTTAGTTATTTCTATTTAGGTCTAAGCTCCTACATTATTAGCTATCAGAAGTCAAATTCAAGTGTTATTTATCTTTGTATCTCCACACTCAGGATAGTGCCAGGTATACACATTGTAGATAATCAGTCAATGGCTATAAATTGAACTACACAGATTTATTTAATCAGTGAAGTTTGATGGTTTGATATTATTACTTTAAAAAGAAAGAAAGCATGAAAGATCAAACCCAACACAAACCACCTCACCCGTATCATAACCTCATCTCCAATATACATATTAACACACAATTTGTATGTGGACAAGCTGACATTGAAATATGAGAATTAAATCTCTGTATGATTTTGCAGAATATCTATGAATGGACTCCTAGATTGGCTTGTATATACTTATTTCAACCTGAAAGCTACCTATTCATGTTCACATGCCTTGGAAGATAACAAGGATTTTTCTGATCTCCTTAATAAGGTGACTTCCTTATGAAACCTGGCTTTGTATTCATGAAGACTAAAGTGATTTAATCAAAGTTAAAAACCAGCATTCACACCCATCTCTTAACAGTTTAGCACAAAAAGTTGGCTTTTACTCCAAGCTTCTGCAGGGGAATGGGGATGATAAGGTATCATTGAACTGGGTACAATGGAATCCAAAATAAAGGCCTTATTAAAAAAAATCAATCAGGTTAATGGATGACACCTGGGTAACTGCTGCAATATTTGCATATTGGTGTATAGCACAGATACTGATCTCTTACATTGTTTCATGCACAAGGATTTCAATTCAGGCTTAGTTTGATCTTTCAGATTCCTACTCCATAGTTTAAAAGTGTTCCATATTCATCTGACATGATAATATGCATAATCTGTCAAAGCAGAAGATTGTCCTGTTGCTTTTTGAAGCCTGTCATTGATGCTGGATTTAGCTAAAATAGTGTGAGTTCAGCAGTGAACAGGGATGTTTGGAAAATCCTTTGAAGAGATAGAAGAATTCATCAAAGACTTTTGGGTGATCTTAAGAGGATGTTTTATGTATTCTCAATTCACAGAGATGGAAGAGGCTTCAGATACCATAAGTGGAAGTCACTTGCCCCTGATAAATACCACAGAATACCCTTTTGAGGCTCATAGGTATATGTGAGTCCGTTCTTTAAAGTTACTCAAGAAAGGAGATTCCATTGTCAACATTAATTATTTGCCATTCTTAATAACCTTCTCTAATGAAAAGATCTATCTTACATTGCAACATGTTTTATATTGTAATTTCTCCACATTCTTTTGTTTTCACAGAAAGATGAAATAAATCATTCCTTATCCTCTGGTCTCATAACAAATATATAAAGACTTTCCAAGTCACTATCAGGCACTATTTCAGTTCTTTTCTCACTTCCAATGTACTGACCCTGCTTGTCATTGTCACAGTCACTGCCAAGATCCCCAAATCCACAAAGACCAACTTTTGGAGCACATCATTTATGGGCACTTGGAAGCCTGAACAAGGAGGTGGTGATTTGGTCATGGAATGTTATATAGGGTGAGTGCTTTCTCCAAATTGGATTTACTCTAAGAAACCAAATTTTATTTAGATATTTCTGTTTGGACAGACACGGCACTGATTTGTATAGCTTGTGAGCTATGTTTACTTCAGATCATTCTTCCAGGGTTAAATTAATTCACACTGGGGAGGTAGAGGAGACAGTGCAGGTTCTCAGGGCTTCAGTCCCTAAACATGCTGCCACTGTAACAGAAAAGGCAAGAGATGAAGACTTTGTGAGTGTTTGTTACACTCATGACTTTTGACAGGATTTCCTCTATCTTCATAGAAGGACACGAAGATTATCAGAGCAAATCCACTTAATCAGGCAAGGGGACAGAGTATCACCCAGGAAAAAATCCCAGCGCCACAAATTATTAACACTAGGACTTTGAGAAAGGTACCTATCTTCTATGAGCTTGTATTTTCTTATTTATAAAGCAGGTATATTAATTAGTATATTACAGTATTTTTATGAGGATTAGATGAGATAATATAGACAAAATGCTTAGCAAGTGATAGCTATTGTTGTTTTATACAGTTGTTTATTTGCTACTTAAGGGGTTTCTAGAAATATTTTTATTTTTTAATTTTTTTTAGGTACCAGGGATCGAACTTGGGTCCTTGTGCATGCACGGCAGGCAGCGAAATCACTGACCTAAATCCCCGGCCCAGTTTCTAGAAATAGAGTCACTGCATTTAGATCCTTGTTTTCCAGTTTTTATCAATCAGGTGACCACGATTCTTTCCTTTCCTCAACTGAAATCAGTTCAGTTTCAGCTGGCACTTTCATTAGTTGATTTTTTCCCCATGTCTTCTAAGGACAGTAGAAAACTCATTTCTGAACTTTTGAGTAAAATATTTGAGTAAAATAATGTAGGCAATTTACAAGCTATATACACATTATCCCAGGTAGTCTAGCATTTCTTCCTTGAAACCATGTTACTGAGGACAGAGCAAATCTCAGAGATAACCTGGTAGATAGTTGGAACCATAAATGGGTGGCCTGAATTCTAACCTAGGCTTTCCTTGTCTTTCTACTCTGCTATACTGCCCCAAGACACATGGTCAGCCTTCACATCTGCAGCATAAGTAATGTCATCTTTTTCAACTGCAATCAATGTAATATGTAGTCAATGTGATATGCAATCCATAACTGATAAGGAAAATAAGTCCTGAACATCATTTTAGAAATATAAACCATGTCACCTACTTCAATTGCTTTCTGGGATGAATAATAATGTGATGATGCTAGGTTACATGTGAAAAGTGTGTTTTAGATATGAGTGGAAAATAAACCAATGGTTAGTACTAGGTCCAAATGACTTCAAGTTTGGTTAGTTTTGGCCAGGTTAGAAGGATTAATATTTTGTATATCATCACACCTTTACTTACAGGTTTAACAGGCTTTAACTCAACATGATCCTGGTAGTAGGAGTGTGTATCAAGTCCACCTATGAAATCAACTGAAAATATAACAGCCCAAGATGAATAAATGTGTAAATAAAAATACAGGTTATACTAAATGTTTCAACAGAATACATAAGTTTAACAAAAGCATCTGTTTCCTACAGAATGGAAAACGTGTATTTAAAATAAAGGACTACAAAATATTTTCAGGGATCAAAAATGGGGAAATTTTAGGAAACACACAAGCTGGGGTCTTGGGATCAGAAAAATCATGGTTATTACTGGCCTCATTAAAAAGAGGAGCAACATTATATAGCATGAGATTTTAAATAACACATTTGCCAAGAGGCAAACAAACATACCTTTCCCTCCATAGACCCAAATATAGACCTTCTCTTCTTGTTGCCAGAATCCAGTGTCTTTCTTAAGATTATTGTATTCCTTGCATCATTAGAAGGCTTTGGAGAAGCCATATACTCTATCTCCATGTCTTCTGTCCCCTAGATATCCCTGGGAAATAGGTATCTAACACTTGCAAAGTTTTCATGTTCTCCCTGATAGCATGGTATTTGTCTTGTAGTCTTTATAGATTTGGTATTTTGTTTTTGTAATAGTTCTAAATTCTTTCTGTTTGATCAAAGCCTTGATCTTTTTTTTGTTAATTCTTTAATTTGTTTTTCCTATTCTATACCCCTTTAAAATAACAAATAGCTTAAATCAAGCTTTGATTATATGATACATGATAGCACTTTGATATGAACAGGTATACAGGCACTTGGGGACTCAGAACTCTCAAGGGTGTGTGGTGTGTGTGCACACATGCACTAAGATATACAATCCACAGATACTGTATCCCATCCTTAGTTTAAAGCAAGCATTTCTGTGAACTGTGATTTACACAGATATGAATTAGCCTAGAAGTTTATTGAATTCTTGGCTAGTTGTAACCCATTCTGGTCAACGTCTGACACACTTCATCCTTTTCCTTTCTTTGGAGGACCTGAAATAAGGCTAGGACAATTGAAGCTTCACCAGCTTGACTAATAGACACAAACTTCTGTGGCCTGCAGAGTGCCCAGCAACCAGGCAAGAACATCTCCAGGCAAACCCTGGGCACCAGAGGAGCCTGAGACTGATCCTTTTTGCATCAAGTCATGTAAGTTAACTAGTTACCACTTTAAGAAAAGTAGCAGTGACAAGAGAGTTGGTCTGAGACACTGAAAACAGTTTCTCCCTGAAGAGTGAACAATGCTTTCAAGTGGTCAGTTTGGAGATTAGATATTCTGCAGATTAGATGTTTAATAAAATATCTGTTTCTTTACTCTGTTGATCCCCAGTAGGATTCTAGGCAGAATACCACATTGATCTTTTTTCAACATCAGCCTCATCACCAAATATTCCAGTTTATTTGTTCTAAAAATTGAATGACTAGATAATTTACACAGCCCTCCTGGAGGTTAAAGAGGATTTTAAAAACACACAAAATGATATATAATATGTATGTATGTGTGGTGTGTATATATGTGTGTATTGTGTGAATAAAATGGTTCAATTTGAAAATCATAGTCAAAATCAAATTATCTCTAAAAATATAAATAGCACATATCCATATAAAATAAAGCAAAATAAAAAGAATACATAAAGGAAAAAATATTTCTCTACATTGATAACTTGGAAATTAAAATGTAACATTAACAGAATTATTTTCAGTATAAATTTATGGGCTTTGATCTAATCCTTAATCATCTCTGTTTGTAACATATAATTTAAGGTTAGGGTTGGGGAACATATATTCAGTATTATTATTTTTATAAATTTATTTACAACTATCTTCAAAGTTTTTTGGTATAGATAGTAAATTTGAAACTGTTGACATCTGAAGTGTCTTTGTAAACCATAGTATCTTTGAGGAAATAATTCTCCCTATTATTGCCTGTAATCACCAAGAAACTTTGTTAAATGAATGATATGTGTAATGTATTTTAGCCTAAATGTTCTTCCAGTTACTGTCATTTTTCCTACCTATGAGTATCTTTTTTTGGAAAAAATTTATAAGACAAAGATAACATACATTTTATCTATTCGTGATTGTTGTTACCAAACACAGGTGCTATAAATTTTAGGCCCACTCAAATAAACTTTTCTTTCTGGTGAAGTATATAAATTTCTCCAGGTAGAAACAGGAGTTCCACCAAGAGTTTTTTCTGAAGTCAAGATGTTTCAAAGGGAAGTTATAAAAAAAAAAAATCTTGTACAAACTTGTTCTTTTTTAAAATTCTCTTTTGCTTTTGTGAGGATACAATTCAGTGTTTTCTTTTTAAAGCTTTCAGTTATTACAATTTACTAAAAGCTCTGAAAGCTGGCTTTTTTCAGTGCTTTGTTTTGTTTGGTGAATGATCTATTTGAGTTTTTCAATTGATCTTGAATGTAAATCACTTAAAATTTAGAAGATTCATTTATAAAAATATTCATAACCATTGCAGGAAACAGATTAACTTACGAAGATTTTGTCAAAACCTGATTGATGAAGAACAAGAGAGAGAATGTATTTTTCCATGCTGTCTTTCTTTTTGCTTTCAACATCAGCATTATTATAAAAATATTTATTTACTCAACACATGTATGTATACACATGTATATAAAGTTTGAAAACTAGTTTCTATTTTCATTGGTAAAATATTGTTGCTTTAGTGTTATCCAGTTATAAATTATCTGTGTACTTGAAATCCAAATATATTTCTGCTTCATAAATTTCTTCAGTTAGAAAAATACTCTATTGTTGGGGTCTTTTTACTCATATGTTTTGATCCACCAAAATTTGCATGTGTATTATTTCCATAAAACAATTTATCTTTAATATTTAATTCTTAAATGAGTTACCAGCATTTAAAACGATGCCAGAGTTTTATCTTGGACAAAATGGACATCTAAAAGTTTACTTTGATGCCATGAATTAGCTTTTAAAAACTTAAGTAAAAATCATTATTGAAAATAATTTTTTGAAAGCATGTAATGAAATGATATGATACAGGCGTTATAAATGAATGTTATCATTTCAATTCTGAGAAATTCTTTTTTCAATAATGGATCAACGCATTGACCCGCACTTCGGGGAGTTCTCTCTCAACACTATCAGCAATGGTCTATTGTGAAGAGTTGCTGGTAACAGCTGGTGATTCAGGTACTTCCTCCTCCTCCACCTGAGAATGGATGGAGTAGCCATCTCCACACCTCTGTCCAAGCTCCTATCTTTAAAAAAATGTTTTTACTAGTGATCAGCCTGTATACTACTCTTGAAAGGAAGGTACTAGTTATGTTGTGCCTTTTAACCTTTGTGGAAATGAGCATTATTGCTGATTTTCTCACAGATTTACACACATGGTAAAATGAGAATTTTGTTCATTGTACGTGTACCTCAGCTGTCTTGATGTGACTAGCTTGAAAGTACTGCCTGGTTCACATTTCAGATTCTCCTACTAGAACTATTAATAATAATGTTTAATTTTGCAAACTAAAAAAAAAATCGAGGACAAAGTCTAAGCTACATAGAGTGCTAGGGCTCCCTGTGATGTTCCAATCAACTAAGGCCATATGCTCAACCTAGTCAAGGGCATTAAAAATGAGCTTTACTTTCTCTGCATGACAGAATTCTAGTGTGATATAAATTTTGCAAAGCTCTAAAAGTAAGATACTACATTCAGGCAAAACTTAAATTATCAAGATTACAGAACCAGACAAGTCTACCAGAAAAATCCTATTAAAAATGAATAATTAAATAATAGGTAATAAATAAAATGAAACTATCAAGAATCCTTCATGGATAAGACATGCAATGAGGCTTTTTGGCAACAGAAGCCCACAAATTCAAAAGATGATTTTATTTTCATATGTAAAAAAATAGTTCACTATGCATGTACCAAAACTTTCCACTTGCTAGAGTGGGACTATAGTTAAAGCAAAGGTATAAATTGAATTATAAATGAAGGATGATGTTCTGGAATCAATGTTTTATTTAAAAAAATAACGTCAATGTCAAATGATTTTAAAACATGAAGACTTTTTTTAAAAGCAGACTTAGTGGTGCATGTCTGTAATCCCAGCACTCTCAAGGCTGAGGCAGTAGATTATTGTTAGCTTGAGGCCAGCCTGTAAAACATACATACCGAGTCTCTGTCTCAAACAACCAACCAAACAACCAAACAAACAAAAATTTAAAGAGAGACTTAACAAAAGACTTGAAAACAAATCTGTAGGGAAGACCATCAGCTTTTGAATAAGTTTGCAGAAAAACAATCATATTACATTGATAAGGAAGTAAGGCAACCATGCATTTTCAGATTCATTTTCAGGAAAAAGAAGATGCTGAATTGAGTTTTGTTCAGTGGAAATAATGGATGCATTTCAAGGAAACATAAGAAGTACTAGAAGAGACATGAACAGGATTTCAAAGGTATTAGAAAGGAAGGGATAGGATGGAAATGTTCTGTAAAGTCTTCAATTGTAATAGCAAGAACACCATATGGAATCTATTGTAGAAAGTCTGGGAATGGCAGAGTTGGGGACATTGAAGGAAGCATCCAAGCAAGCTTGTAGGACAGTGAAGTTGAATTCTGTGTACTGTGGTTAATAAAGCCTGCAAATGTGAAATATATTTTGGGAAAAAATTAGCATGATTAAAGAGTTAGCAGCTAGTATTCAGAAATGTGAGCTCTGCAGAGTGTCGCTGTCTACACCATTTTTGGAAACTGAGGTGTTATCATCAAAAATCCCATGGGGAAAGTCTGACCAGAAAAGCCTTTAGTTTGCAGTCTTTTCAAATGCACTTCCTGTGCCAACTCCTAACAGGACAGCCAAGTAATTTCTTATAGGAAATAATGCTGTTTGTAACTGAATATCTTTGTTGTTACTCACTCTAGCCATCAAAAATTTCTGATAAGGATTCTTTCCCAACTGAAGGAATTATAGAATTGTTCTAGATATAGACCCATATCTACTGTCTATATAAAGACATGCTTTCTACTTGTCAAAACACATGGCCAATCGCAACTTCTCCATT